TCAGCTGGCCCCACATTGGGGATTTTTGAACGCTCTACTCCATAAAACCCCTAGATTTAAATGGCATGCTTTGTAGGTACTAACAATACATTTTCTGTAGAAACCATTGATGCAAAAACTAGGATGAAAACTTATGAAGATTTGGAATCAGCAAAAGAAATAATGTTTCTCTGCATCTACAAAAATAAAAAGAAAGCAAATAACATTTTATATTCAAAACTTTAAAGGCAGGAAGAAAACAGTACTTTATAAAAAGGTTTAGATTTTAAATGTTTTTTGAAAGACATTCTAGCATCAGTCTCTTCATTGGAAATCCAAATCTATTACTTTGTGATCTCAAGAAAAATTACTTAAATTCTGAGACTCAGTTCTCTCATCTGTAAATTTGGTATTTTAAAAAAAAAACACTATAGGACAATGTGGAGATTACTTGAAGAAGAAAATATGTAGAAAGTTCTTCCTACATTAATTATGAATTAGTGTTATTATTTTACCAGCCTGTGAGGGAAATAATGATGTATTCCAAAAATATAAGTGTGCTAAATGAGTAATATTCAGCTTTTGAGTGCCCCAGTGTTGATACTGTTATTACATACTTTTGAATTCTTTTCAGTAGTGTATATCAACAATAAAAATAGCTTTAATTTGATAAGATACGCTTATAGTTTTGAATGTTATAACAATGCCATCAAATTTTTTCTCTAATATGTCAAATTATTTTTGTTACACTGAATGAACTCAGATATCATCAAATATCATTTTGTGTATGTGTATGTATTTTTGTATTTGTGTGTATGTGTATGTATATGTATACCTATGTATTATCATCCTTATTGTGCTTTCTAGCTGTTACTTCTAGGCTTATTAGAATTGTATGTAGATACGGAGTAAATAAGGAAAACCTTTTAAAAAGCTCTAGCCCTTTATGTTGCCTATTATCTTTTTGTAGCAGCCTTTGGAAACCTTTAGCTAAATATATTAATTCATTAGGATTAGAAAATGGTGTAGCCTAATTCGATCATTTCTTCTTCATATATTGAATGAAATATTAAAAAAAATGTCCCTTCATTATTTATTGAGTAGTTTATATAAAAAAGCAAAATAAATGTTTTATTCTTTTCAGATTATGTATTAACCAGTTTTTTAAATAATAGCTTCCTAGTATGGTGAAAAAGTTACCGGGTTAGGAATGCATAAATTTAGGCATATTGGAAGTATATCAGCCCTTTATAGTCATTAACCATGTGTGAGATCAAGTTATTTTTGACCAGTTGAAGCCAATGAGAGTTGGTCCCCGAATTCTTTTGACATGACCTTAGTGGACTTTCCTGTCCTCCCAGTTTTCTCGTAAAAGAACTATAAAACACCACCAATGAAGTAATCTTACGAAGTATAAAAAGTAAATGGAACTTGAATCTGATCAAGCCACTAAATGTACCTATTATTTTAAAGAAAATACAGGGACTGGGGAAGCATTGTTCAATAGTATCTCGTTAGGAAAATCTAGAATGTGGGACAAACAACCTGGTTTTATTTAGTAAATTTGATTTCAAGGAGTGAAAAAGTTAGCTGGCTAGCCATTAGGGAAGCTCATATTAAAACAAAGAGATCCTATTGCATAACTGTTAGAATGCCTTAAACTGGACAATGCCATGTCCTGGTGAGGATGTGGAGCAGTTGGAAAATCATACATTCTGTTAAGGGGAGTGTAAAACTTCAAAGCCATTTTGGAATGTAGTTTGACAGTTTCTTTAAAAATAAGCATTCCCTGTATAACCCAGTAATTCCAGTGTACCATAGAGAAATCAAGCATAGATTCCTATAAAAATCTGTATATGAAAGTTTATAGTAGCTTTATTTGTAATGCCCCAACTAAAAATAGCCCACATGTCCATCAACTAGGGAATTCCATACAGTAGAATATTTTCAGCAATAAAAAGGAACTTACTGTTGATACATATACAGCAACATAGATGAATCTCCAATGTATCATGCCTATGTAAAGGAAACCATGCTCAAAAGGCTGTATGCTATATGATTTAATTAATTTGACATTTTGGGAAAGGTAAAACAATTGGGACAGAAATCAGATTTTTGCTAGATGCTGGGTGGGGAAGGGATTCACTATAAAGAATCACAAGAGAGATTTTGGGGGTGATGCAAGTATTCTATAGCTTGATGGTGGAGGTGGTTATATGGATGTAGGGGTTTGTCACAATTCATAGAAATGCATACTTAAAATGGGTGAATTTTACTGTAAGTAAGTCATACCTCTAACTCTAACTAAAAAAAAGATAATAGGAGAACCTATAGATTAAGAAACACTAGTAAATGATTGTCAAGTCACTGTAATGTATATAGCATTTATTTAGATATTGATTCCCTGTTAAAGTTGAGACAATAGGAATATTCAACACTGACTAGATATTTGATGACATTAAGGAATTATTATTTATAGTAATGGATTAAGATATTTAGTTATATTAAAATGAATCTTTATCTTAGAAATACATACTGAAATTTTTACAGATGAAATGATATGATTACTGGAATTTCCTTCAAAGAAATTGTGTGGTGGGAGAGTAGGTAAACAGATGTAGATGAAATAATATTGACCATAAGTTGGTAATTATTGAAGCTGAGTAATGAATACATGAGGGTCCGTTTACTGTGTTATCTACATGTTAAAATATGTTTGAGAATTTTCCACTATAAAAATGAAGGAATTATAATTCAGTTTTACAAATATATGTTTAGTGAATAGATTTTAACAGTACTGAAATAAAAGTCTCCAATTAATAGTTTATCCCAGAAATTTAAGCATGGTTTCATATTTAAAAATCAATCAAAATGTGTCACAGTGATTCAAATTAGAAAAACCACAAAATCCTTTCAATAGACACTAAAAAGCAGATGCGAATGGCCTTATTCCCAATGGCTTTTTTTTTTAAACTTCCCCTAAAAAAACCCAAAAAAAACCCACCACCCACAACACATTCTTAACTAGATGAAGACCAAAACTCATGATGAGATGCCAAAGCAATATTTCTCAGAGTGTGGTCCATGGCCTCCTGGCATCTGGAGGACTTGGAGGTAGTAGTTTACAAAAGTAAAGATCTGCTAAATCTTGAGCCCTGTGCATTTATCTCCTGGAAACACTAGAAGAGGGTAAAGGGGATGCAATATGTGGAATATGGAAGGAGACTTGATTTTGGGTGAACACACAGTGCAATATATTGATGTGTTATTTACATTTGAGACCTATGTAATTATATTAACCAGTGTCATCTCGATAAATTTAATTTAAAAAGACATTACAAATGACTTGTTTTTTAACGACCTATTTCATTTAGCATGGTTAAACACAAATTACATATTTTAAAATTCACTTATAAGCACCTTATGCATTTTGTCATTACTTATTATTCTTAACAGTATATACAAGTAATTTAAAGTAAGTAGTTCAATTTATTAATGCTAATGCAATAAATAGTAAGGGTAGTTGACATAACTTTGATAAATAACTTGGATATATTTTTACATCAATTGTGATATTTATGCAACTTTTTTACTTATTTAATTTCAGTTGTGTTGCTTGATACAACAACTGTACTGGGAGAGCTAGGATGGAAAACATATCCATTAAATGGGGTAAGTTTAAATAGCTTTCTAAAATTGTTTTGTTGTTGTTGTTGTTGTTGTTGTTGTTGTTGTTGTTAGGTGTTTAGGGTTTGCTATAATAAAGCAATGGTAGATTTTTAGTTCTATGTAGTAGGCACTTTAGCCTATAACTTAAATCCCATAGAAAAGATCAAATACAATGAGAACTGGCAGTCAATGGGAATAGTATGTAAAATATCTTTGCTTTCTACTAAATTAGTAATTGTTCTTTAATATAGCATTTATACATAGCAATATTAGTATGTCTCTCAATAGCTATTTTCTTTAAAAATAAATTTGCATGTGTATATGCAAGACGCTTTTCTGTATATGTGTAATTAAATCTGGTATCCAGTGAGTATTTGTGCATAAACAAATTTTAGATTATCTTAAGTAGATTTTACAGCTACTATCAATTTGGGCTTTATTAGAAAATATGAGTCTACTAAAGCACTATGTTTTTTTGAAGTTGGTAAAAAGATACATTATGATTAGGTTTTTTGTTTGTTTGTTTTTTGCTGGAGTACTTGCTTTTGAAAGACTTAAAAGGATGTGTAATTTACAAAATGCAGTTATTCAGGTACTGACATAATTTTATCTATGATTATCCTTAACTTTTCGTATGTTCTAATCAATTTTGCACCATTTTCACATTACAATATGTTTCTGCCTTTTTTCAAGTTAAAATAAAGGGTGGCTTGTGAAACTTTTTACTTTTTGTCTATTTAAACAAAATCTTTAATAATGGAGGTAGTCAAATATTTTCAGATATAGTTGGATTAGCTTGTCTTCCTCTTCATGGAAATTATATTTCCTCTTTCATTATATTCTTAATTGATATTTTTACATTGCTTCTTCCATTACATCTACAAATTTAAATCTGAAAGAAGTTGACCTATATTTTATTTCTTAAAAATCAATCAAATATTGCTATTTGAATCAGTAGTTATTCAACAGTTTTTCATTAAATGTGTGTATTTTCATCTAAAAATTCCTATGAAGAGTTAGATCTTCCTGTCTTTGTTTAACAGGTTATTTATTTATATAAAGATTTGGGTTTTTTATAGACTGTTTTTATTTTTCCTGAAATTTTCATTTTATTCTAAGAGCGCTCATCTCAAACCGTTTGTGAGAAATACATGTTTTAAGCTAAGATTATGCCTTAACCTTCATTATCTTATTTCCATTGAAACAAATAAACATCAGTATTAGTTGAGTATATTGTCACATTTATCACAGTTACTTTCAAGAAGAGAATGAAACTTTTTTCCTAGAATCCCTTCTAAGATAATACATATTTCTTCTCAGCATGCAGAGTAATGTATAAGTACTTGCAAATAATTTATAAACCCTAATTTTCCATTTTCTGGAAAAACAGAAAAAACATTAGAGATCATGTTATCACTGTCCTCATATAGTCATAGCCAAAGAGTCATGTGAGGAACATAAGGAGTTATGCCCCTGCTCTCCTGATTATGTTTGGCTTGATCAGGCTGCATTTCAGAGGAAACTGACAACCAGGCTACCCAAGGACTTACAGATTTACAAAATAAACTTACTGCTATCATTCCTGTGATGATTTTATCATCAGTGTTATCAAATGGGGAATTTTTTACTACTTCTGGTTTATTGGTTACAGAGACAGGGGGCAGAATTGTCTAAAAAGTGACCTTTACTTCATAGTTTTCTACTTGTCAGATACTTCACTAAGAATTTTATTTTTTTTGCAATGGCTCTGTAGAGTGTGATGGGCTCTAATTCAAAATAAGCTATTTCTTATTGACTCCCAAGGCTGTATCTTTATCATGGCACTGCTAAGGGAGAGGAACATCGGAAACTTCATGGAAGGGCAATTACTAATGTGTGATATTTATGTAATTGACTTAGGTGTCTTTCCCCCTCCTTGATAAATAAATTGCTAGACTGAGATGTACATTTTGGACACGAGCCAAGTATTAGCTAGAGAAAAGAGGGGAAGGAGAATACAGTAGAAAAGTATGATAAAATAAGGTGGAAAAGAAAAAGGTAGTAAAAATTTATTGAGTATTTACCATATGCTAGGTTTTGTTCAAAATACATTATTCACATCAGTTCCATAAATCAAGTACAATTTATCCCTGCTGAAAGATGTGGAAATTAAGACTAAGGCATATTAAATAAATTTTACAAGGTCACAGAGCTAGGAAGTAGTACAGCAAAATTCTAAGCCAAGCATGCTATTTTTGACACTTATGAGTGGTCATACAGTTAGGTGCTTTTTATTTCTTCTAAGATTCTACCATATAATGACAAAGGCCCATGGCCAATATATAGACTTCAAAGGGAAAAGTAACACATAGATTTAGACATTAAAAAGTAAATTGAACATTCAGTTACCTTGGAATATCACAGTTGGAATAGGCTATATTACTTTCAGATTATCCCCCAAATAAACAATAATGCATAAATGGTGAGTATCAGCAGTGGGAATATTTGAAAATAGGAGTGCATGAACATATTTTATGATAGATAGATCACATAAATAAGTTTTAAAGAAAATATACAACTTAAATTTCTTTTTTAATGAAGAAAACAGCTTACTGATAATATGTGGAGTTTTATTGAATGCTATTTATAGGTTAACACAAGGAAGGAAATAGTAAGGATGAAGAACTTTGAAAACAAGACTGCTAAATATTGAGAGAATGAAAATCATCTAAATATCAATACTGGTTAAATAATTTGAAAATCTGTGGAAGCTGTTAATCATTTTATAACATTTAAACCAGCATTTATTTCTGTATAATAAAGTTGTAGTTATATCTATTTGAAATTGTGTATTTTTTTCTGGTTCTCAGGTTTATTGAGCCAAGCTAAATTTGAATGGCCATTTTTACTAATTTGAGTTGTCTTTTTTTCAGACACTAATTCAGCTGGTTTTACAAATATGTCATGGGTAGAAAAGACAACTAGGTATATTTGTCCATTTTATGATATAAAGTATACTTGGCATTGGTCTAAATAAAATATTTCCTTGGATCTTTTTAATTGATAAAATTTTATAAAGAATTGAACTGAGATGTTTTTGAAGTTATATAATATACCTATATATAAAATATATGATTTAATAAGTGATTTATAGATTTTTAAATTTTACTTAAAATAGCCATTCCATCAGTAGTGTCATGCTGATATAGTTACAGGAGCAGACATTCACAGTGTGCCTGTGAACAAAACCATTACTGGTTATTGGAGTAAGAGGTGATGATCTCTGGTTAGTGAATATATAAAATAGATGAGTAGTCTTGAGCAAATGAGTTTTTGGGTTTACAAACATGAAAAGAAAGTATATTTTCTGAAATGCTTTCTTGTTAAGTCATTTGCACCACCGTTTCAAATAAACTTTCTTTTAAGCAGTGTCCAGAATTCAGTTGCACGAACTTCTATTTTCTGTGCTTTGTGTTACTTGTAACCTTTTAGAGAGTGCTTAAAACAGTTTTATGCTACCCTAAAAGAGTCTTGCAGTATAGAGATAATTCTATACATCATAAGTGCAAAGCAAGTGTCTTCAGGTAATTCTGAATAATGTTTTGTGAAATAATAAAAAGAAAGATTAATTCTGATCAGGGAAAATGGCTTGAGTAAAAGCATAGAATTCTTGCTCCCAAGCCAACTCTTAACCAACGAGCCACTTGGCCAGCCCAAGCATAGAATTCTTAAATGTGTGTGTTGTTTCGGAATGATAAGAATCACTTCTGTGGCTGGAATGGAAGGATGTTGTGGGAGATAAGGATGTGATCCAGGCTAAGCCACATTGTGGAAGACGTGGAATTTAAATGCCTTAACTGATCTGGACAGTTATAGCTCAGCCCCAGTAAGTAAAAGTAAAAATTTTCTGGATTCATTTAAACTAACAAAAATTATTGAAGCTTTCTTTTATTTAAGGCAATAATATAGACCCTTGGAAATGAAAGATGAGTAAGAAAATTATAAGGAGAGGATGTTCAAAATATAGGTGATTTGACATTATATCATGCATCACTAAATGACATGGGTGTTTTCTGAGAAATGTATAGTTAGGCAATTTTGTCATTGTCTGAACTCAAGAATGCATGTACACAGACCTAGGTGGGATAGCCCCTACACACCTAGACGGTAAGGTATAGCCTACTGCTCCTAGGCTACAAGCCTGTGCAGCATGTGACTGTACTGAATAGTGTAGGTAGTTGTAACATGATGGTAAGTATCTGCATAACTAAATGTATCTAAACATAGAAAATATACAGTAAAATACAGTATAAAAGATAAAAAATGGTACACCTATATATAGGGCACTTAGCATAAATGGAGCTTCCAGAACTGGAAATTGCCCTGGATGGTCAGTGATGAGAGCTGAGTGACAGTGAAGGCCTCCACTGCTGTAGGCTTTATAAACACTGTCCCACAAGCCCTCACTCTGCTTCCCTCTCCAGGGTCAGATATAGGACACTGAAGCTGTTAATGCTGCTCCATGAACAGGGATGTTGGCTGGATTGAATGTAAATATGGAGGAGAAACTGGCTAAGCGAGAAGTAGATCACCATAATAGTGACTGTCAGGAGGGAGTGAAAGGTGGCCTGAGGATCAGTAGGAATAAGAAATCAAGATGGAGAGATTAAGGAACATAGAGGATTGTTAGGGCAACGTGGTTTTGGCTAATGCATGTTGGAGCAGTGATCAGATTAAGGAACTTTGTGATATTCATAAAAGAATAGGTTTACATAAAAACATAAAATAATAGTTTCACATAGAGAGGGTGTAGAACTGAAGACTCAATATTTTGACTTTGGAAATTTGTTTTTGGTTCCATTGACCTGATCTGGCACAAAGGCCTCTCTCTGGCATTGAATTGATGGAAGAAATAAAACTTGTCTATGCTTTACATCATTACAACCTAAATCTTTTCAAAGTACAGTGACAGGCTGGCTCCACACCACCACAGAAAGCTGTTGTTAAAGTGTCAGTGGCACTTA